AGGCATGCATACACTCACACAGACGCAATTGCTATGTAAATGTGCAATTATCCACTCTTTACGTGAGTGCGAATACCGAGAAAGGTAAAATCGATCATTGAATTTTTTTTATTTTCTTAATTTTTATACCCTGTACCCAAAGGGTACATGGGTATATTAGTTTTGTGCGAGTGCACATGGAACACACAGAAGGAGGTTTGGTGGACCCCACAAAGTATATATATTCTTGATCAGCATGACAAGCCGAGTCGATATAGCCATAACCGTCTGTCTGTCTGTATGAACGCAAGGATCTCCGAAAGTATAAGAGCTAGAATAACCAAACTTGGTATACAGATTCTCCTGAGACCGAGAAAGGACGAGTTTGTTCATTTTTTCTGATCCACTTCCCCACTCCCCCCCTATTACCGATTTTCTATAACTCCCATAATTCTTGGAACTAAAATTTGGTAGTCACATTATGTTAGTAATTATATATTCGTATACCAAGTTTTATTATGATAGAATGATCGGAAAGAAAGTTATAGCCATATAACCAGGCCCAATGCACACATACATACATATGTACAAGTACACAAACACGCATAAGGCACGATTCTGATGTAAATGTATGTATGCATGCATGGAATATTTTATATTTAATTAGTTAATATTTAGTTAATTAATTAAATTAATTTAGTTAATTAATTAAATTAAATTAATTAATTAATTTAATTACTTTTTCGTATACAGGGTATTTAAGAGTTGAGCCTGCTCGACTTTAGCATTCCTTTCTTGTTTTTATTTACTTTGATTATTGTAAACATATGTACAGAGTATTTCAAAGTCGGGACACCCGACTTTAGCTTCTTTACTTGTTTAGACAGCGTTTATTTACGTTTATTGACGTCACTGCTGTCCGTAGATCGTATGGTGAGCTGGGTATGGCTGCTACTTCAGGACTTGATAAGCTGTTGGACCTGAGTCGGTGGTGACTCATTGGAGTCCCATAAGATATTCATTGCATGTAATGTAGGTTCTCTCTGGCTTTTGGTCGCTTACTTCCCGAAGGTCTCGTATTTTCGGTGGAGCATTAGAGCTTCGTAATATTCCACTTTCCAGCGATTGATCCCATGGGGTTTACTCCTTGAGAGACCAAAGTTGAATTGAGCCTTTGCAGAATATTCGTTCTGTCTTAGGGGTACATAACACCCGATAGGAAATATCCTTGCGAGAAGATTCATTTAGCTCTTCCTCAAAGAATTTGTTTGAATAGCGAAATATTTGTCACTATGTATGTAGTATAAGCTTCTCTTTGAGTCTGCATGGATTGAGCCTCACATCGTCCCTGTTTGAAAGATCGAAGGCAGTGGCATCTACATATCACATATTTGAAAATATAGATCAATTAGATTTAAAGGAGAGCAGACGCGGAACGATGGAAACGATAATTGGAATCTAAATGTCGACATCCCCTCCTCCATGCATTTCTAGGCATACATATACTATTCAACCGTAGATTGGGGTGATTTATAGGAGTTCAATTCTCCCTGTTGGCTTCCATTATTCACCGGTCAAGACAGAAATGTATCTGTACCGATTTTACCAGCCGACCTCGCGTGGCGCGCATAACCGCATAGTTCCACAATAATAATGCATAAAAATTACTTAGCTGCAAATTAATGATAAATATTGCGTGTTTTATTATTTCAATTTTAGAATGTGAGTTACAATTTGTTATAAGTCATATTTTTGTAGCTTCTCTTTTATATACAAGACGCAAATTTGCGAAGGGGTCTGAGCTAAAATTAAAGTCTTATTGTCATTCGTAGAGCTGCGAAGATGAATAAAAACATTTAATTTTAATATCAAATTTATGTAAATGTGTGCTTTGCAATGTTAATTGTAATTTTTTTTTGCAAAATTTCCCATTAATTACTTAAAGCGGTCATTTGAAATACATATATGCGAACAATATATATGCGAATCAGCACTGATAAATGTTATGTTAAATGTATATTTGAAATTTAAGAACTTTTTGGTAGACCCCTGGTATAACTATGGTTCTGGCCTATCTATAAATATGCTGATTTGGGGCTATCTCGACAGAGATTATTGAATAGCTATAATTAAAATTCGGAAAGCATGCCTTAAATTTTGTCTCACTATTGGTTAGTATAACGATAGCTCCGGCGACTTGAACAATTTTTGAACGGACAGGCAGACCTATGTAGATGACCTTTGTATTAATTTTTCACTGATAAGGAAATTAACAAGATTTATTCGAATAATTCTTTCAAAATAGAGTTTTTTATTTTAATTATCCGTTAATTCTCCCCAAAATGTTTCGTACACGTTTCGACATTAACATTATTCGTTTAGTTTTTAGAATTTCCAAAAGATAGCTCTGTATAAAAAAAAAACTGGTTCAATATTCTCATTTTTCATTTTATATATTTTTAAAATATCCATGAAACATGTTGAATGCAGAAAAGTACTCAAAAACTCAAACGAAAGATTTAGAAAACGCTCTTAATTTTGTTTCGAACAACATTTATATTCAGTATAACCCTATTGATATATTCTTATTTTTCTTATTGTTTCAGCGGAGAATCAAAACTGCAACATGGAGCACAAAATGTAGAAAATATAATATTCTTCCTAAATTTTGAGGATATAATTTGATAAGTGTGGATAGAAAATCAATTAATCGAAATGATAGTTACGAAATTTGCATTTTATATTTGTTAAGTTGTATATTTTTTTAAAATCCTAATCGATTAAGGTGTATAATATATTGTCACATGCCTTTTGTATTAGAACATAGAATTATTCGTATCCAAATAAATTCATTTAGTCGGTTTGTAGGTGGCATTTTGTTTGGGCTGTAAAAGAGTTTTATTTACGAGTTGCATTCAGAGCATATTGCTTTCGATTTTTATTATCAAAATTATCATAGAAAATAAACAAATGTAACAAATTATACAACGTAAATGAATATTGACTTAAAAGGATGAAAAAATTTGTTTGCTTATAAGTCTGTATAAACTTTTTTAAACTGCAAAAGCATAAAATAAAATAAATAAATAACAAAAGTTATTATTTTTTTGGCATATCACTTTTGGTTCTTAAAGTTTGTTTTTTTTATTACTTATTTCAGATATTTTGAAGGCATTTCGGCCTTTTCATTCTTTAAATAGTACAATTGTCAATGTTCGTATTCAAGTGAGATCAATAATATTTCCTTGTGGTGATAGCATAATAATTTCATTTCAAAAAACGTCAGAGAGCATAGAACAATACCCATATCAAATTTTAGGTCTGTTGTTGATTGATTGTCAAATCTAAATAACTATTGTATTACGGTTTTTGACTTTTTGTAAATAAATAATGTACACGAGGGGCGATAAGCAAGAAATCTACTATCGTTTCAAAATATGGTCCTGAACTTCGAAATATGAAATTACTCTTATTATTAGATTTTTCAAAGTTCTGTTTGTTATACAATGCGATTATATTTTAAATGCTTGTACTTTTCAGTTCTTTAGAATCCGCATTATTTTTAATAAAGGGTTAATCAATTTTTTAGGCTTGCATTTTCAATGCTTCATATTCATATTTGCTTTTTGAAAATTTTAATAAAATATGTTTGTACATAAAATAAAAATGTAAATAACATAAAAGTGCAACAATTTAAATTAAAATTGTATATATGTATTTATATTTATGTCTATTTTCGTGTGGTTTACTTGGTTTTTGATATTACCAGCATTTCTTAAATCCATTTCAGTGCGTTTCCTTCACACTTGCTAAACGTTTAAAACGTTTTCAATTTGTTAACTTAGCTTTCTCATATCTCATTCCTGTAAAAAAATAACTAAATGCTACGTGAATTTGTTGTAATAAATGCGTGGATTGCACGCAGTTTTGATCAGAAAACTCAACAGCTGTGCAATTATAAATTCATTTACATGTTTTTAAGCAAATAAATTGTTAATAAAATAACTTAGAAATCGGACAAAACGGATAAATATTGACTTCTTTAGATGTTTATAATTAATTCTCTAGCATGTTGAGTATTCGGGTAATGTAATAATTGCAGTAGTAATTTACTTTTACCAATCAACTTAACTTACCAACATTCTTATTTGAATGTATTTTTCGTATTGTTTCAATTTTCAGTCTTTAGCTGGTTTGGTATTTGTTTTAAATGTTACAGCTTTTTTTTCTTTTTTTTTTTTTTTTAAAAAAAGTTCGTTGCTTTGTATTCATGTCTTCTTCGTTCTTATTGTTTTTGCCTGTCAACAATTTGTTCGCTCGCGAGTTTGGTTTTTAAACTTGTCTAAATAAAGAGTATCGTGGACATTTTTGGCGTAATTTTGTTTGTTTGGTTTTTCTTTTTAAGTTTTTCAGGTACTTTTGCACTTGTCTTGTTTGGATTTAGCTTTTAAATAATTCGTATAGCTTTTAACTTTTGTAAATTTAAGCTTGGGTGTTGCATCATTTTGCTTAAGTTTCTTTCGCTTTAGTGGCTGCTGCTTCATAAAAATGTTCAGTCTTTTGTGTTGCACTCATTTTGTTTGCGTTTGGCTTAATTATGTAGTTGCTTTGTACTACTTTTGATTTTAAACAAAATATTTTAAATAATAATTTTTGAGTTCAAATAAATTTAATGCATTACACACATTTTTGAACATTATTTTATTGACTTGGATAATATTTATGGTTGTTTTTCTTTTTGCTAATAGATCTTTGTGTAATCTTGATTTTATGCTTAATTTATATAAGTTAATGTTAATTAAATTGCTGCTATAGTAGTAGGGTAGGAAAACAAAAGAAAAAATTAGTTCATGCCACAGAAGAGTAGAAATTTACAATGTTTTGAAATTATAAATTAATGGTTCCTTTTTCAGATATTCATTAACAAAATGATTCATTCCTTTGAAGAGAGTGTGAATTCTGTTTTTTTTTTTTTTTTTTTTTGCTTATCAACTAAAGTTTATACATCGCATTCATGTATATAATCTGGCATGAATTACATTATACATTTATTATTTTCATCAAAATGTGTACAGTATTTATGATGACTTTGGTCACAGTTGAAAAATAAATGTGTGTAAAAAATATAAAAGAAATTTACATAATCATTCTTTGCTGGAGTACAATGCAGTGTAGACTCCCTTTGTCATCTAACAAAACATTAAAACACAGGCAATGTCAGTTTTGAGCGAAAGGTAAGGAAGGACAGAACGAAAACAGAGGTTTGGATAGGGTGGGGGAAAATACGTAGCAACACGATTTCAGCTTATTTACTAGAAAAAAGAGAACTTTATGCTTAAATTTAATTGTATTATTTAGTTTATGTGGGTGTGTCTGTGTTTTTCTCTTGTGTTTTTGGGTTAGCAAGCCATTTTCTGTATTACACATACAATTTACTTCTCGTTTCCCTTCATTTCTGTTGGCATGCAAACTTTAAACGATTGAAGCACGCGCAGCGTTCTTTACTCTTGTTATCATCTTGTGTGTAGATGGCGACACTTTAGTAATAAGCAGCCGCATTCGAATAGCTCTGCGGATACGCCTGAGAATCTACGAGGCAAGGAAATAAAATTACATAAGTTTTGGAAGCTTTTTACGTACGTTTATCATAAAAATATCTGCGCGAAATGTTGCAAATAAATTTCGTGAGACTTATTAATAATGTTAAAAATAAGCATGTGTCGACTATTTGGAATGCCGTATTCACATTAAAATTATAGATTTTTGAAGTTTACATAAATTTTGGATTACATAAGATATAATAATTATAATTAATACTAGTTATTTATATTTTAGAAAGGGGTTTGTGTTCATGCTTATGTGTGCAGTACAGAATTGAACGAAATCAGCAAAGAATTGCTTATGGCGATAACTCACTTTAGATTTTACACATGGGGTAAAAATAAATTATTATGAGAGTACGGCCTAAGTAAAATATTTAAGACAAGTCAACGCAATTTCTACCGTTTGGGTACAAGGTACATAAATAAAATTGGAATTATATAGCCCACTTAAGATAAATATAAATAGTTCAAAAATATATAACAGTTTACGTAATAACTTTTAATACAATGTACGTTAAATATATAGAAAATGAGCGAAATTACTGACGAAGTAATAATTGCACTGCAATGGAATATTTAACTATATTTCGTTTACTATAAAACAAAAGATGATTAACCCCACTTTCTAATCTTAACGTAATTACGAAACCATTTGGACAGTCAATGAGATTATGTGACTTACCATAGCCTGTATAGGCACGTTCATCATAGCTTCCACTCTGCTGTCCATGCTGGCTATAGTCTGCCTGTCCAGTTGCGTTGTAGTCAACAGCTGTTGAACCATATTGCTGGCTGTAGTCCTGACTATAAGACTGATAGCGGGTATCCTGCTGAGTGGCATATCCCGTTGAGCTGTTGAATGACAAAAATTCAAGTTATTCGTATAGAGGATTTTTCCGCCTCTGGTTAAGACCCACTTGTAGCCTTGATACTGGCTCTGATCGTATTCTGTGCCATGGGTGGCATAGCTGCTGTTTGCCGGAGCACTGGTTTGGGTTGTATGTGCTGCATAGCCGGTGCTCTGACCATAACCATTGTAACTTTGCTGGGCAGCTGGTGTACTGTACCCGGTATGTGCGTAGGGATCAACTTGCTGCGACTGGTCATGCGTTTGATAGCCATGATGACTGCAGTGGGTGTCAAATGACAAGCAAATGTACATATGTGTGTGATATATAATAAAATATTTCTTTATCCATACCTCTGAGCCGGGGCATGGTGACTTGAAGGTGAGCCATAAGATGATTGCGGGGGCAGCCCTCCTGCGCCCATATGTTGTGGTGCTGTGTGGTACTTCGGTGTCATCGGACGTTGGCCATAGGGTCCACCATCGTAGCGTCCACGCTTTGGACCTGGACCGCCCGGTGCGCCACGTTTCATAGCTGGTACCGGTGCAATTTGTGTATTGACATTATGTGCCTGATGCATGGGTGGCCGACTCATACCTTGATTATAGCCGCCACGTCCGCGAGGTGCTCCACGTCTCATCTGGTTGTGATCGCCCCCAGGTCCACCCATTGAGCTTCCATGATGTGGGCCACCATACATTCCATTACCGCCGCTGCCATTAATGTGAGCATTGTAGCCGCCGCGTCCTCGTCCGCCATATAGTCCGCCACGTCCACGACCACGTATGTACGGCGGTGGTCCACCGTTATTATTTACTTGCGAGTTACTGGCTGTTGTTGTAGCAGTAGTGCCGGGCGCCGCGATTACCGAGCTTCCTGCGTCTGTGGTCTCTTCACCGGTTACCTCACTGACTTGCTGCTCGCTAGTAGTTGTTGTTGTCGGAACAGGTGAAACGGTCTTGTTGTTTTCAGCACCTGTGTGTTGTTTGGGTGCTATTTTCGCGGGCGAATTGATATATAGTGTAATTTTTAAATATACCTACAATGATATCACTTACGCTGCTGATACATAGGCGGCCGTCCACCTCTCATCCCCATAGGTGCGCCACGAGGCTGAAAGCCACCGCGACTTTGAAAACCACCCGGACCCCCTCTGGGGCGCATACCACGAGGTGGTCCTTGCATCATGCCCTGCATTGGTGGCCCACCGCCCATTCCACCTCGCATGCCGCCCATAAAATGTCCGCGACCAACACCACGTCCACGCCCGCGATCAAAACCCCCGCGCATCGGCCCGCCGGCACCTCGACCACGAAAGCCACCACGTGGCCCCCCAACTGGTGGGGTAGCTACTTGTGCTGCTCCTTCCATGCTCTAAATAGTACTGCTAGATAGGTTATTTCACACACACAATACTAGGATACACACTCACACACGAACGCCGCTTCGGTTTTAACGTTTATAACATACAATGCGAACCCTTGCTACCTCTGCATTTATATGCGCCAACGTACTGAACACACTTTTCAATGAATTGTAATATATTTTGTATTCAGCAAAGCATTTTTATATTCACAATCAAACTAAATCCCTTATTTCCAAAGCGTCGGTGAATTGATTTTTTCCAAGCGAAGAAAATTCTAGTGATGGAAGTAGTGTAGCTTATCGATGTGCGAGTGTACAAATATGGCGGCAAATATTGATTTTAATGTAGGGTTGGCAGTCCTATAAAACTATTAACTAATTCATGGTAGGGATGTAAAAAAACATCGATGTATCGAGCATCGACGATGTTTTTACCACGATGCATCGATGTTTTCCGATGTTTTTTTTGCTAACGATGCATCGTCGATCCATCGATGTTTGTCCAAACATCGAACATTATTCATGTTTTGTTTGACGGTCACATTTCTTTGTGTGGTTTACCGAAAATGGTATGTATATTTATATCATAAATTATTTGATGTTTTCGTTAAAATGTGTATTTTATAATATAAATTTTAGGTTGTTAAGTATTTGATCTTCTTTTTTTCGTATGTAATGTCACACTTAATATGCCTAAGAGGTGTAGCTGCAACGCGTCGTTATTTTAAAAACTGTTATAATAAGTTTTTTTAAGTAAGCCATACAAGTTCATCAAAAGTCAATATTACGAGTACTATTTTGATTAACAACATTAAGTAAAATGCTATGACAGTCTCTTTTGATATATAAACACTTTTTATTTCAAGCTTCTCTGCTGGTTAGCTCCCTAATAATAGCTTTTTTTCTATGGAAAGTTAATTTTTTAAAACATCGATGCATCGATGTTTTTTTGCGATGCATCGACCATGCATCGATTTTTTATAGCGAGACATCGATGTACATCAACATCGATGTTTTCCCTTCGATTTACATCCCTAATTCATGGACAGATTTCGGGCAACATCATTTCATCGATAGGCACATTGCAGGTGCACATTAGAGATGTGTTTTTCTTTAAAACTGCCAGATTACCAATAGGCGCTTTTTATTATACGTTAACATTTTTAATTTTTTAATTTTAAGTACACTGACGAAAGCTTCCAACTTAGACATTTATTGCAATAAATCAATCTAGACATATTTGTATATGTACCTAAATCAATGATTAGTGATTTAATGCATAAATACATTTTTTTAATTCATTAAATTGAACTGTTGTCCAGCTTTCTTATTGGTGGCAACTCTAGTGTTTTGCAAACCTTTTGTTTTGCTGACATGCTAATACATTTCGATGTTAGTTACATTTACGAACCAAATTATAGTTGATATTACAGCTGCTAGTGCACACCCATTGAAATGTCGTCATGGATTACCGGACTCGCGGACAGGGCAGAAAATATATTGAATAAGATCGACCAAAATGCTGCAACAGCGCTCCAAATTGAACCAAATTCTTTGGACTCTATGAAGAAAAGCCTTACAAGCAGCACACAGTCATTAAAGTCTTCATTTTCGCCTGCAAAACGCGCCAGCACATCAATGTCCATGTCCACCTCCATTGGAGGCAATAGTGCGTCCAGCGCCAATAGCGAATACGGAGGTGTTGGCCAACTTGAAACTATGGAAATGCGCAAAACGTTGCCTACTTCAGCAAGCTTTTCCACGTCACTGGGCACATTTACCAACAACATGGACACACAGGAGTTGGCGGCCTTCAAGATAGCCTTAAATGAAATCACAGCTGAGCGTGATGAGCTGCACCAACGACTCGGCGAAATGAACCAAGACACAGAGAACTTTTCGCTAAAACAACATGTACAAGAATTGGAGGTACTGTCGCAGAGCTTGTCACAGGAACGAGACAAAGCTGTGCAGGAGTTGAATGAAGCGCAGACAGCTGGCTTGGCTTATGTGCACTCCATATCAGAGCTGGAGACGAATCTCGCCAAGTTGCAGCAGGAGTACCTCAACACGGCCCACAAGCTGCAAATGCAAACTAAAGAGACGGAACAGCAGCGTCTGGAGCTACAGGAATATCGAGCCAAGGCACAACGTGCCCTACAAGCAAAGGACACGTTGATAGCTGAACTAAAGGGCAATCCAATCGAACAGGGCACACAACTGACAGCCAAGGATAGCGAAACTCGTTTTCTTCAAATCGAACATGATGCACTAAAACAAGAGCTACATCATTCCAACGAGGAGCAACAGAAACTACGCTTGCAAATGGAAAATTACATGGAGTTGGAAAGGCAACGTGAGTTGGAGTTGAGCACAGCACGCCACCGCGAAGAAACCCTGACCAAGGAGCTCCGGTCGGTCCGTGAACACAATCTGACTACGGAATCTGAGCAGCGCGTTTTAACCCAGGAGCTAAATTCGCTGCGTCAACAGCTCAGCAATCATATGGCAGCGTCTGCCACGCGTTTGCAGGAAAAGGAACAACAATTGCAGCAGTTGCGTCAGCAACAAAACATCCGTCTCTCGATCGACGGCTTCAATACCGACAAAAATGACTATGAAAAACGTTTAAAAGCATTGACTGAGTCGTTGGTCGAGCGTCAGAGCACACTGGAACGGATCACAGCGGAGCGCAACGCATTGAGGTTGCAATATGAAAAAACACAGATGCAATTACAGCAATCTATCCACTTGAATGAACTGGAGAGTCAGCGTGGTGGGGCACGTAATGCCCTGCTCTCAAACAGCACAGATGATGGTAAGCAAAATAAATTAGACCCATTTTGAAAATGGATAGCAAAGAATCTTGAATTCCGAACTACTTGTGTCCATTTAGCATAGAATTTTCTGGGGTATGTTCTATGTGTATCGAAGGAAAAATATTTGGGCTGCAGCCAGTAAACCTTGACTAATCCATGACTAAACCATATAAATTATTTTTTCTTACAGCCAAGTCGCAATTTCCGCTTCTGATGCATCCAAGCCCCTTTGACAATCGCGTGGCGCGTCGGGTAAAGCGTGCCTATTCCTCCTTAGACTCGGCTGGCATACGTCTCGGCGCTTTTCTGCGCCGCTATCCATTAATGCGGATAAGCGTTATTATGTATGTAGCACTACTACATCTATGGGTCATGTTTGTGCTGCTCTCAACGACCCCAAATTAAAAGGGAATCATCTTTCTTCTCAATTTGAGCAATTGTGTATTTATTTGCAGATATTGTGGGTTGCATTTTGTGTTGTCGAATGGTATACATATACATTTGTACAATAAACATTATTGTATTGTATAATATACACATGTAAATATTGTGAAGTCAATTGTTGTAATTGCAAATTCGTTTATAAAAAATTGTATATTTGGTAAGTTAAATAAACATCAACTATGTACAAACTACGTTGAAGAAAAATCGGCTAATTCTAATTTTAAACTTAAAGAAAACAATCAATAAAACGGCATTTTACTTCCTACTCAAAAGTTAACGATCTGCTACTTGTAGAAAGTTGAAGTCACAGTATAAGTATTGCATTTAGTTTACACGTACATAATTAGGGGTGTATGGCTGTGTGTTTAGGTATGTAAGTATATAAGCACACGCGCAACTAAAAACATTAAGTACGTAACAAGCGCATTAAGTACACGTTAGTCATGCAATTAGAGAGCATTGGCAATTAATTGCTGAGTCCCCATATCCTTGGAGCCAGCCAGTAGTTGGGAAGTCTAATTGATTTCAAGTTGGAGCAGAGAGCTCATTTAATACGCCTTCTTCAGTAGCAGAGGCTTTTGGGACGATTCGCATAGAATAAACGCTAGATGCCCCGCAAACGTTTATATCAGTCGTCAGCGTAGTAAGACACATAGACCGCATCGCCGCCGATGCTAATCAGGCACTGACCCTGTAGTGTACAAAAATACATACATACATAATTATATTAATTTAAAAATGTTCTATAAATTTAACAATCAAAAATACAATCAACCCTTTATAGTTAATCAAAATCGAATTTGCTTTTCATATATTGTGATACGAAACTTTTAGAAATATGTATATACAGAGCAGCTGATTAAGTTACTTACTTGATTTTTATGCTGGTTATCAAACAATATTAACTCCGTCATATAGAAAGACACCATAGCGTTACCACCCAATGAAGCAATATGCGCGCGAACCACTGCTAAAAGTTCGGTGATAAAACCATGCACAAAACCGCTAATGCCGCCAATTTCTCGTATGGAGGTGCTCTCCCTAATGAAGAAGAAGTTCAAATTGCCCAAATACTTTTCAATGCGAGCGCCGGGTATAAAGTTGAGCGGCGTCAAGTCCACTCCATAGCGATCGCGTAGTGGAAACTGTAACAAATCGAGCATTATAAGCATGAGTTAAATATGCGATGGATTATCTTACATAGCGATTGCGAGGTGCGGCGTTAACATTAAGCGGTTTGACGGAGGGTGCTGCCAAATTGCTCAGGCGAGATGGCGAACTTTTACGTATCTTAAAGGAGCTCAAGCCAAAAGGCGGTATAGCGGTGCTTGTAGGCGTGGGTGTATCTACCATTTGATCCTCGTCCAGTGGGAAAATGTAATCCTCCTCCTGCAACATTCGTTTGCCATTTAGCTCGGTCTGTGACTGCGTTGTATGCATCGCTTGTGCTGTCTCATTGACGCCGTTTTGCTGTGCCGGCTTGCGTCGATATTTCATTTTATTGGCATCAGTTAGACCCATGGCCATGCCTGTGACCAGCAATTGTATTTGATCCTATTATTGGAATAATAAATCAATTAGTGAATAATGACAATGTTTTCTTAACTTACGGTTTCGGGCAAATCGAGTCGGAAGCGTAGATCGCATATGGCACATGGTATCATGGTGCGCAGCTTGAAGTAAATTGTTTGTAGTAAGCTGCAAGAGACGAAAGATTAATTAAAGATCATCGACACTAATAAATTAATATTTGTAAGGGCTTACCGTTGAAAATGTTTCGGAAAACCATTGATGCTTTGGCCCACCTCAAGACGCGCACGCCAAACCTGCGTAAACATTTGCAAATTCTTGACTGCTTCCATATCTACCATTCCCGGCACCTGTTGAGTGTTGACCACATGGAAGCCCTCGGGCGGATATGGTTCCATCAGCAACGATATGATTTCCAAATCTTCTATGTCATCAACTTCCAGCACGCACAGTTCTTTATTGCCGCAATTTAAATCGATTTCATTCATCTCTTCATCATCTGAATCATCGGTATCTGATTGCTTGTCCACCACGATACTGCCACCTGTGGTCGCGTCTGGATCCATGCTCTTGAGCTGATAGATTTCCTGATTCCGTTCAAATGTCTCTTGCAGCTTCTTTTGCAGCTCGTTGAGCTTTTGCTTGTCAGTCCAGGAATTACCTGCGACAATTTTTGGAACTTGAGGTACGGGTAGGGCGCTTAAAAACAGCGCAGTGCCCGTAGCTATCAAAGCTATCATGCGCTCGCCAATAGCCACCTGCGTGCGCAGACCAAATATTGCATTCATTCCCTTTGCTTTCAGTTTGTTGATGAGTACACGATGAAGTTCGTATTCCAAAAATGGTAAGCCATCGGATATCTCTTTGGCATTGAGTTCGGCACGAAGATCACGCTTGGCTCGCACCACCTGCGCCTGCATAAAACAACCGCGTCCGGTAACTTGCAGGTATTCTGGCACTTCAAGCGTGGCCAACAAAACATCTGGTACACGTCCTTTGCGACAAACTGCGCATTTTTTCATCTTCACATTGAAGGGCACGGAGCTTAAATTGTAGGGTATATGGCAAATAGCGCATGCGTGCCGTGGGGCATTTAGAGGCAGGCCATACCGCTTACCACTTGAATTATTGCCCGTGCCGATAGAGCCATTATCTTTACTCCCGGCATCTCCAGAAGCACCGGCACAGCTTGTACTTACGCTAGCCTCGCGCTCTTCTAGCGAATTGGACATGACGGCCACATTATTGGATGCCTTCGATATGGTGAATATATCTGTTTGTGATACTGATCGATTAAATACCATATTTATAACTGCAGCTGTCCCTGTGGCCGACAAAACACACACATCATCGCTGCAACGGAGGATTGCCAATGAGGGATTATAAGATGTTAGCTTAAGAGGCTTACTTGCCTAGATTGAAAGTGTTTATTCACTTTATAAAAGCATCACTATGATTATGATTTGTGATGTTTGATAGCTCTTAAAATTAAGTACTTACGATATAGTTGTTGTCTCTGCATATCCTAAAACTACATTGCAGCCTAAGGAACGAGCATGGGAGCGTATTTCCATACGAAGCTCAGTCCACCATGAGTCGCGAACTTCGGGTTCATCAGGATTTGGAACACGTTCTAGCAATTTGACAGAACGTGCTGCTACAGTAGCACCTAGATGGAGTATAAAGCCTGTGGGGTACTTCGTCATTGTCAGAAATGGATACTCCAACATGTCCAAACTATCTGTGGCCTTATTGCCCACTGCTGGTTGAGTCAGACGCATCATGGCTGTGGCAGCCACTAGACGTTCGCTGGCCACACAAATCGAGTTGCCTGTGAATAGAAGCATTGTGTTTTAGCTACATAGCTACTATCAGTATATGCTGGGTCACGGATTTTAACAGAGGAATTATATTTACAGCGAAAAGTATTTGGATAGAATTTCATTATAAGTTTAGAGAGGTGTACATATAGTATGTATCATGATTTTGTATTTCGGGATCTTCAAGCAATAATGGTATTGTTTGATTGTAGAATATCTTCTTAAGTTATAGTCCTTGGTTATGTGGCTCATGCGACAATTAAAGAAATTATGCAAATACATTTATATATTTAAGGAAAGCGTTGGAGAATGTGAAGAAGGCTTATGATCACATCAAGATAGAGATACAGTGAAAGAGAAAAGAAAATCATATATTAAGCGGTTCGTGTATCAGAGAGACGTAAAGCATATTTTCTGGAACATATACTAGTCTGCTTTCTGAAATTCCTTTTTCATAAATTGCAATGTTTCCATTATTTTATATTTCCCTTATCAAGTAAATTACTATTCTCTATTGGGGACAGAAATGTAATTTGTTGATATCTCTAAAAATTCTCTTTCTGATACACGCGTGGAATAAAACTTTGTAGAAATACTTAGAAGAAGTATCAAGTACATCAAGATAGAGATACAGTGAAAGAGAAAAGAAAATCTTATATTAAGCGGTTCGTGTATCAGAGAGACGTAATGCATATTTTCTGGAACATATTCTTGTCTGCTTTCTGAAATTCCTTTTTCATAAATTGCAATGTTTCCATTATTTTATATTTCCCTTATCAAGTAAATTAATATTCTCAATTGGGGACGGAAATGTAATTTGTTGATCTCTCTAAAAATTCTCTTTCTGGTACACGCGTGGAATAAAACTTTGTAGAAATACTTAGAGAAAGGACATATAGAACCCGCCAGTCAGTATAAAGCATATAGAGTGGAAAATATAATCTCATCGCATGATTGATTGGTTACAATTGTGAAGGCCGACGACTACCTCAATAGTTGTAGCAAGGGATTATGTTAAGGTAGCCACCATTTTAAAGCCTTTTCGAGTTTGTTTTTCACTCCATTTGGTTTTTACTCATTGACGTTGCTAGACGAAGGGTCACGGATCGGGTGATACTGGCACTGGCTGCTAACACACCCAACAACACACATACATACACACACATAGAGACACACATTACATCGAGATTGTTGGACAGAGGTTGGCGGCAACTACTTACGCTTGCGATGGTATGTAAACGCTACATTTGTTGGCGATTGCAAGAGCAGCAACAGGGCACAAAGAGAGAACGTTAGAAAAGTTTTGCGATTTCACAAAACACACATACATATATATACATATATATTTAGAGAAAAAGATTGGGAGAGAGAGGTAGAGACTGGACACACCATTTCACAAGGGCAGTAGTGACATACTTAGTATAAGGGTTTGATCTTAACCTTTCAAGTCCAATTCGGGTTTAAGCCTAAATGGTAAGCCTAATGGTAAGTCTATGCTATGGTTTTTACATACCTTTTGGGGTCACACTCAAATCAGAGTCCGACGAGCGACGACATATCTCGCCAAGTTCTTTGGGAATCATTGTGGTAGCCGTCGATGTGGTCGATGTTGACGCGCTGTCCGCATTTGTAGCCGATATTCCGCTCTTGGATGGGCTGGGCGTTAGCTTCAATCGACTGCTGCCTGCTGGTGAAGCGAAACGCTTCAAGCTGGGACTGCTGTCTGTTGCCGTGGTTGTTGTTGCTGCTGCAACGTTCGCGTTTAGGGCCGCCACTGTTACTGGTAGCTCATGCGCTTGTAGCTCGGTATTGGATCTATTTTGACGTTTTTGTTGTTGTATGGCAAATGGCGAAACAGAATAGCATGGAGCAAGCAATGATGATTCATTATTGTTGTTACTATGGTTAGTACTATTAGAGATATTTACAACATGTTGAGGATCATGTTGGGTTATTTCAGGGGTGGTTACTGTACTAACATCAATGACACCCTGCGCGTCTAGAATTGCTAGTGGCGAAAACTGTGATTTATCGGATTCAGTTGGTGTGGGCGTTGAGGGACAAATGCGCAGGATTGGCGCATTCAGCAGCAACGTATTTGGAGGTGTGATGCTAGCTAGTGAAGGTGCTGTCGATTGATCAGAGGGAACTACAGCCAGTCCTGCATAACTAGCGCTAGTGAAATTGCTAAACGAAATACTGCGGCGTATGCTACAATCATAGCTAGGCGTATCATTTAATTGCCATTGACTGCACACCGGCAGCTCAGGGTGGGAGGAGTAATACGATTTGCTCTGTGCCGGCGCCAGGGCAAGCAGGCAACGCAGAGACTGCTGGCGCGGCTGCTTCTTGGGTGCTAAATGTATAAGCTGCTGTAAGCGCCGCGAGAATGTCTTCAAATCCTGCATTAAGGTGTTACGCTTGGGAGTCAAATCCTGTTGACTCTGCTCGCAGCTGCGCGTTTCACCCGGCTTTATCCAATTGTCCTGTAAATTGTCTTCATCTGCATCTAATTGAAGATGCAGCTCGGATTCGCTATCACTGACCGTCACTTCTGTTCCTAGGCCTATGTCAAGCGTTTCATTTAATGATAAAGTCGATTGCGTCTCTATGGAGTAGGAAGAGCTGGAAGACTTACGTCCAAAGCCCACCGCTGGTATCAAATGACGCTGCTCTGCATTTATATTCGGCACCGAGCGTGTGTTCTCTTGAAAGTCTGCCATGCTGGGTGCTGCCAATAGATTCATGGTGGTTCCATGTGACGCCCTCACGCCAGTGTCATTACTTACGGAGCGCACAATAGCAGGCGTAGTTTTGCTTAATGAAAAGCGCGATTTCCTTGTCGATCGTCGTGGTCGCAAATCGTAGGTGCCTCCGAAAATACTGCTTAATGAGTGGGTGCCATGTTCCGGTATTCGTGGCTCGATACGCCGAATAAGCGTAGCGTATTTTTCGCTAAATACATTTCGTGATGACAGCGTCAAACGACGCATTCGATGTCGCAACTTTTTTTCCCGCGTACGTTCCCCGCGTTCATCTTCTTGTCGTATGAGATTGTGCATAATCTCCACATCATCATTGTCACTGCTAGCACTCTCCAAATAGAACAACGCCGCTGCTGCTTTGCTACTCTCCCTATTGATACTTAGCCGATACTGTGGCGTGCGTCCAATTAGAGGCAAGCTGTTGCTGCTGGCACCGGCACAGTTGAGGAAATCTAAATACTTTTTGACCACACTGATCACATGAAGTGAGGATAGGGTAGGAATGTTTTTGGGTTCGTAGTGTTCGTTAGATGGCGTAAATGTGTTATGCACACAACAGCGATCGAGTGTTGAATTATTACATCGAAAACGATACGGTACGATAGGATACGACAATAAACAGCCAAAGTGAAATATTTGTACAACGTATATGCGCGTTATAACAACAATTTTTGTTTGGTTGCGTATGAACGTTGAGTGTAATTTGAAGTGGGTGGTAAAAACATTCGAAAGAAGAAAATAATTCGCTTTAGAAACATGTTTGGCTAACAATTCAAGTTACCTAAATTGGAACCTACACATACTATAGTATACTACCAAAGGATATGTATTTGCTTAGTTATAACTCATCGTATATACTTACTCTTCAATAAGCGCTACGTCTGCACTAGTTGGCTGACTGCTCGTGTCCTTAATTAGTGTCACCGCCGTGCCAACGCCACGTGCCACAACGCCCACATCTCCTTCCAAATCAAAGCATTGTGTATAACCAATGACCGCATTGGCGCCCATATTGATTGCTTTGAGACCCATCTTGCGCTGAACTTGCCCCGACAGCTTTAAAAAAACGACCTGACGCGCCTCGTTTGAAGCACGGGGCGTGCGTATCTTGTCTATCCATTGGTATTCGGGATCGTCGTTGACAACAAGCTCCTCGACAAAGCCGTGAATGACCTGAGCGCGATATCCAAATGGCACACACTGCGCTGCAGAGACAAATATAAGCATAATTAGGCTTTTTGTTTTATAGAAATATCTAATTACAGCGGCACTCACAATGAAAAAATGGTATGCCGCATGAGCTTTGCCTAAATTTGTTTACATCCGAGAACAGATCCACCTTAACAATCACATTAATCTCGCCGCGTATGCCATGCATGGTATCAAAGACCGGTATCCAGCCGGAGAGCACGGTGCCCTTGCCATGCACTGTCTGACTAGAGCTCTCCAGGCACAAAGGATTCAAACTTATATTAACCTTTCCAATTGCATCGTTCGCCGAATATGTATCGTAGTCCATCAAACGTATTTGCAGCGGCTCGTCCTGCAGTTCGGCATCGTCGACCTCAAAGCGAAACCTATGTATGAGAAATGTGTTTTTGTATTAATTGGGCGCGACCTTGATAAAGTGCAATAGTGTGTGCGCCCTGGCGATAAGTACCAGTCCGTGTTCCACGTTGGATTTAAGCTTTTTCTAAAGACATCTGTCTTGTGAGTAACTGGGCCCAATTTGATCTCAACAAACGCATCCGTGGTGTCGCAAGCTTTGTCCATCACAGGCAAGTTCCTTGCTGCCTTAATCTTAACTCCCACTTTGCCAGGCATCTTGCTGCAGACGCTTGTACGCCTCACTCACTGCCAACACACGACCCACACCACGGGCTGTAATGCACAACAATCTGGGCTTTCACTTTATTGTCGAATAACCTATTAAATTATTCTTCTCGCAAAACAAAAATCAGTGCCCCATCTTTTGCCACCTCCACTTCGCGTTCATTTGCCATTCGCTGTGCGACGTCACAGCTGTTACAGGGCTGCATAATGAGGGCACAGTTCGCGAGTTTTAAAAATTACTCATTCAGTTAATTTTTCGAAAGATGTACTATACACATATGCCTACGAATTTATTTGGCTCGCGAATAATTGTCAGTAAAAATAAGAGTAATCTAAACTGTAATTCTCAATTATTTTCCAATGCAGAAGTCTTTAAATACAACATCTAGAATGTCTTCTACGTGCACGTGTCCGGTGATTCGTTCTATGCAGCGAACAGCGAGACGTAATTTCTGGGCTGCAATAGCCATGTCCGGGTAAACATCTGGACTATATTCACGCAGAAAAATCTCAATGTGTTCAATGCAACGCACCAATTGCTGCCGATAACGCATGTGGGTTATACGTGGATGTTCGGCACGCGGGGTTCCGCATAGTTTCTGCAAAATGGACTCTAGTGCACTTAGAAAGGCAGGTATGTTATCTTGCTTCTGGCAGGAGATGGTGAGCATGGCATTAATTTTACTCAAACGTTCTAGTTCCTCTCTAGATAATGTGTCCGACTTATTGGCTATGAGGTGTAAGCGCTTGCCGTTGCACATCTGGACGGGAAGGTCCAGTTCCTCCAGATAACTTTTTATATAGCTGTCCACATCCGCATCGTTTTGCACCTGCTGAAGGGCTTTTGCATCAGTGAGCAGCAATATTAAATCAGCTTGTTCCAGGCATTTCTTGGCGCGCGCCATACCCTCCAGTTCGATAGTGTCTTTTGTGTGTTTGCGTAGACCAGCAGTGTCGGAAAATATAACCGGGTAGCCACCAAAGTTGTGCATTGCCTCAATAATGTCACGTGTTGTGCCCGCCTGTTCGGTTACAATAGACACAGACCGCTGGCAAAGCAAGTTAAGCAACGAACTTTTGCCTACATTCGGTGCTCCAATAATAACAGTGCGTACTCCATCACGCAGCAGTTCGCCTTGCCGTTGGTCATTCAGATGCTCGTGTATTTCACGCTTTACGGACTTCAGTTCTCTTGTTAGTTGGACTATTACGCCTGCTTCGATTTGTTCCTCCTCAGCAAAGTCGATGTAGGCTTCAAGATGCGCAGCGCAGCGTATCATGCGCATTCGCCAGCTGTCGTACAAGCGCTTGAGCGAGCCCGTGCTTTGTAGGAGAGCCTGTTGAGAATACCATTGTATCTAAAAATTCATACAAAATGTAAGTTAGTTTACCTGTTTTCGTTGTGCCTCGGTCTCGGCATGTATTAAATCAGCTAAGCCCTCGACTTCTGTCAAATCCAGTTTACCACCAAAAAAGGCACGTTTTGTAAATTCGCCAGGATGCGCTGGTCTGAGGCCCGGAAGCTGACCGAGTGCATCCAACATGGCTGCTATGACGGCAAGAGAGCCATGCACTTGGAACTCACATGAATCCTCACCGGTAAAAGATGCTGGTCCAGGGAACCATAGCAACAGGCCTTTGTCTATCATTTCCTTTGTGCTGGGATGATAAAACGACTTTAGATAAGCTAGTCTCTGTTTTGGCTCATATTCCTCATTGTTTACTAGTGCACGCAGCGCATGTTTTGCCTGTAATTTTGGGCTTTTATTAATATGTATTTAAAAACACAATGTTCTAAGATCCAACCTGTGGGCCAGAAACACGAATTACAGAGACCCCGCATTTTATATGTCCCGAGCTTAGGCTGTAGATTGTGCAACCCGAGCTGTTCATATAGCTACGACAGAAGAATCTGCTCCAGTTATTTGCAAACCTTTTAAGCAACGCCATAACACACAAGCGTTCCTGCCACACCCCCCACACAAAACAAACTGCGAAAAACAGATGATATTCGATACTATAAATGAGTATTTTAATGAAGATTATTAAACAGCTGTGTGGGTGCGAATGCTGCCAAGTCGTTTAAAGTGCTGCCCATCTGCGAAATATTTAAATTTGGTCTATTTAAATGGCTTTTCTTCCTTTCTTTTGGGTTTTCGTATTTTTCTACGTAGTCTCCTTACAGGCCGATGCGTATTGGATCTATGATCCTTTTCCAGTTTCCGCTTCAAATAACGAAGGTACTTATAATTTCGTGGACCTTTTAGGGGTAACGCTGGTATTTTCGGCATCGGACTATTTCTTCTGCTAGAGAACATACACACAAACTTGTTAAAGGTCGGTAATTTTGTTAGATTTGTGAACGCCATGGCGACATTCAGAATTTGTCCAAGTTGTTTTAAACTATATGATTTTTTAGAAAACTATGAGTTATTTATATTTTTTGACAGTTGGTTTTCCGACTTACATAGGGCTGCCCATAGCTCTGTAGAATTTTCTATTTGGTTACATTGTTGAAATAAATTTCGTAGTAAGGAATCAATTTTTACGCAATTATAATTATCAATTACATTTCTAAGTTGAAATGAATGCATAACACCCAATTGTTCCGACGGTTCCGACATTTATATATACATACATATGTATGTAATGTTCAACCTGTGTTCATCTAACTTTTTGGCTATGTTTCTGACACATCCACATAAGTGGCCAGAACAAACAACTGAAAAAAAAATCAAGCGCGAGAATCAGAGCGTTTTGCTCTCAGATATGAGGTTCAAGCAACAATAAACCGATATAGTGAGCGTTGTTGACCTTAACACAAGTTTGTGGTAAAGATTAGTTTTTCAAATAAATTTTAAGTTTATACAATTAATATATTGAAATATAGTGCTAAAATTTTGTTTATTATTTTACTTTCGAAAATGCTTTAGCTTTTGAAAAACGCAAGATAACAGCAATGTGGATTTTCTGCAATTCTATATTATATTAATAATATTCCTTTTAGCGTTTTAGATATGAATACCATTTCCGTTAAGTATACTTCGTGTCTGTAGAGTAGCAGCATGTATTAGATTTTGAAAGAGTGTGTAATTTTATTCCAATTTCAAATTCCCACAATAAAACTAATATTACTAGGTGTTGTATTGCAGGCACTGCTAATTATTACTATTGAAATTTCCATTTCCACAATATATATATGTAAATGCTTGTTAATATAACTAGCATATAAAAAGTCTAAAGCTCTGACATATACGACAAACTAAAAGTGCCAAGTATTCTCCGAGACCAGCTCCTCTTCACTGATTTTCGGAGACATACGCAAAATACAAGAGTTGGTATTAAGTTCGGAAAGTCAAATTGCCTGACACGTTGTCGTACTGTTTAAACACTTAAAAGTGAAATTGCCTCCTTCTGCCGTCTTCGTTGTCCATCAGCCTTAGCCTACTCATTGCTGGAGGAGGGCAGTAGTCCGATTCTTCTTCTTCAATGCGATTACGTGGAACAGAGTGTGGATTCTTCTCCGGAAACGCCACTTTGGGCTTGCTTGAAACGGGTTTGGCTGTTGTTGGTCGATCTCTGCTTCGTCGACGTTGCACTGGTGGAATAACATTGTCAATTTGTATCTTTGGCGGTTCTATTTCGGGTTCTGGATAACTGGCCCACGTGTTCTGGTATTCACGTTCGTAAATATCTCTATGCTTGTAGTGTTCGTCATCCAAACGCTTTTGTGGCAGTTCCGTACTTTCTGGTTGGGGAGCCTCAAAGCCAATCTGCTGCCACATGGAACGACGCTTGTTGTCTTTGTAAACTTTGCTTTTCTCAAGCTCAAGCTCAGCTTGCGGATTAGTTGGACGCACTACCAACGACCCGCGTGAGTTTCTGGCGAAGCGACGCATCTGGACACGTGGTTTCGCACCGCCCAACATTTGAACGCAGCGACTCATCATTAGTTTAGAACACCCCAAGATGTTAGCCATTGCCTGTCGTATTCTGGAAAACCAAAAAAAGATTGTAAAAATTTTTGTTGTTAATTTTCACAGTAGATTTTTTTATGATTTTTACAAATTTTTTGAGGAAATTTAGCCGAAAAAAAATGCTCAGCTCTAAAACATGCTATAGAACGGAATGAATGTTTGGGAAATATGGTAATGACATGAAAATCGAAACGACTGTGTTGACTTAAATAATTATTTTTGTTAACAGGATTTTTGTGTACTATTTTTGCACAGTAATAAAGGCCTGCATTGTTACACCCTTATCCGAGCTCTAATGATGAATCCAAGCAATCAATATTTAGAAGTTAATAGAAAAAAATGGTTTTCAAATAAATACAAGTATGTTCTTAAAAATATTTTTTATGATAGCTTAACAAATTTCGATTGGCTTATCTTAATTTGAGAATCTACAAAAAACAGTTAATACAGATGTAAATGATGTTGATGAACATCCAGTCAAGTTGGGTTTGACATGATAGTTGTAATAACATGCATCTTCTATGTACATTTGCCGTTTGTGGTGTTTGCTTTTCCCAAATAATCCTTCGGTTCCTATAATATCAGCAATTATAGTACCAACTGCATCCAGTACAGCGTAAAATCTGGTATGTATATGCCATGGGAAAGAAACGAGGGCACAATTGAGATTTGCTGACTAATATTTAAGAATATTAATGACAAGCTTTAAATAATAGTCAAATGTAAAATGTATAGGATAAATAGAATAACGCTTGCACGGAAAATTCTATTCGGTCATGAGTGGAACTGCTATTAGAGATGTATATTCAATATTCGTACTGAATCCATATATATATATATATATATATATATATATATATATATATATATATATATATATATATATATATATATATATATATATATATATATATATATATATATATATATATATATATATATATATATATATATATATATATATACATATTTTCGGTATACTTGTACACTAAAAAATGAACCTTTAAATGTATGCCTCTCGGATATTAGAAATAAAAGAAAAATATTGCAAATTTTCTAACTAACTTATGATCTAAATCGTTGTACTGAAAGTATATTTTCTCCTTTTATTATGAAATGTACCCGAAGTGTGAAAAGGAAATACTATATTAGCCACATTCACAAAAAATTGTAATTTAATTAATTTTTAATTAATTTTTTTATTTCAGGCTTGACAAAAGATAATGCTACACTCTTTTGTAAATGATGTATTATTATAAATTATATGATTATGGGCGAAAAATTTCCCAAAAATGTGTTAAATTTATTCTTACACGATATGTATAAGCAAAATGAAAAATGTAAAGCTGAGAAGGCTGTGAAAATTAAAACAATCCATCTGTATTTAAGTAGTTAGATTTTCATTCATTCGAAATTTAGGCAGGGGACTGGTCGGTTCACAACATCTTTGTTTTCTAAAAAAATTGTTTTGATACAAATTTGTTTATTTTTTTTTGAACAAAATTGTTTTGGAAGCATCTAAATTAATCGAAACAAAATTGAGAACCTCTAAGCATTAAAATGTCGGGGTCGTGCCTATGTGTCTTTCGAGGCATGACGCGTAAAGTGATACGTCTTTGTCCGCGCGTATCGAGCACCGTGCGCTTATACTCGGCTGGCTGTGAAGAGCCACCTGCAGATAAGTGCAAAAAAGTGGGTAAAGATTTTCCGTGCGGCAAGCCAAAATTGCAAGCCGAAAAGAAACCCGTACCCAAACCAAAAGAAAAGTTCCAGTCGATGTGGCCTAACCCTTTCTGTGACTTCGATGATCCGACTTGCCCATATAATCCGCGTTTTGATGATCTTTACTACATTGAGTCAGACAAGGCGAAGCGCAAGTATTGGCAGACTTGGGTCTCGTGTCCACCTGTGCAAATAAAAAAGAAGAAAATTTGCTGCTTTGAGAAAACAACATTGCCGCCGGTTATGCGACGAGCGCATAAAAAGCCACAAACTGCCTGCGAAGTACCCCCCGAAGACTGTAGAGAAACCAAGTTTGACAAGTGTCTGCGCTTGAAGCGACGATGCCACAAGGCTGGTCGTATACCTCCCACCTGTAAAGAATTGCCAACTCCTAAGGACTGTGTAAAACCGCTGACACCATATCCGGCGTTTTCCGAATGCAAGCGTCTTAAATCGAATGCTAGACCCCTTAGCGAATGTCTTTGCTGGAATAAACCTGCACTTTGTGAAGTTTGGGCAGAGTGGCGCAAGCGTAACATGGCTTCTAAAATCAAATAGGCGAAATCGAAAACGGTGATCTCAGCCTTGAGCTTTAGTGACCCCGAGACATTTAAAGGAACTCCAAGTTAAACCGGTCAGTCTCTGGATCATTTGGCATTAAGAAAATGAATAAAGACTATAAAATACTTTATGTATTTTGCTATTTAAGGTTATATAGTACTATCAAGGGCGGAGGCAGGGAGGGCCATATGAATTCGACAACACATTCATTATTATGGCGTACTAATTCGCCTTAATGTGGAACTGAGTTGGATTTGTTGAAATTTGTCTATTGATCATGAGCACAAGTTATTTTTAAACGCATCGTGCATTATTTAATCAAAATTTAAATTTTTTGGCCTCCCTTTGGCAAAAGCTGCCTACGCCCTTGAGTACTATCTAGAAAGACTGTACCAAGTAGATATTTCAAAGAAATATGATGAACTTTTGAAATATTTGTATTCTTTATTTGGTATTGTATTCGTAAATCTAGAAAGACTTTGTTCGACGATAACGTGTCAAAACGATGTAGTCGTCATTTTTTGTATCCAATGCCAGAGATCACGGCTGCAGCTGACGTAGTTCCTCGAACAATCAGCTCCTGCGCGGCCCGCATCGCGAGCATGCAGATATTTTTCGGAAACGTTGTCCAATTTGGGTCTATTTTAGATGGGGAAATGCATATCAGTATTGTGTTATATGTATGAAATAATCAAAATAATGTCTCTGTATTATAAAACAAGTAAAAAAGCTGAAGTCGGGTGTCCCGACTTTGAAATACTCTGTACATATGTTTACAACAATAGAAAATAAAAAAAATTAAGAAAATAAAAAAAACAAGAAAGGAATGTTAAAGTCGAGCAGGCTCAACTCTTAAATACCCTGTACCACGCCACAAAAAAGTAATTAAATTAATTAATTAATTTAATTAATTAACTAAATTAAATATAAAATATTCCATGCATGCATACATATATTTACATTTACATCAGAATCGTGCCTTATGCGTGTTTGTGTACTTGTACATATGTATGTATGTGTGCATTGGGCCTGGTTATATGGCTATAACTTTCTTTCCGATCATTCTATCATAATGAAACTTGGTATACGGATATATAATCACTAACCTAATGTGACTACCAAATTATTATAATAGTTCAGTTATAGTTATAATTAGTTCAAAATTCCAAGAATTACGGGAGTTATAGAAAATCGTTAATACGGGGGGAGTGGGGGGGGGGGGTGGATCAGAAAAAATGAACAAACTCGTCCTTTCTCGGGCTCAGGAGAATCTGTATACCAAGTTTGGTTATTCTAGCTCTTATACTTTCTGAGATCCTTGCTTGCATACAGACGGACGGACGGACAGACGGACATGGCTATATCGACTCGTCTCTCATCCTGATCAAGAATATATATACTTTGTGGGGTCTGCCACGCCTCCTTCTGCCTGTTACAGACATTCGCACAAAACTAGTATACCCTTTCACCCTTTGGGTACAGGGTATAAAAACTAGAAACATTGCATCGATGTCTCGAAATTCGATTTTTTATCTGATAGATTTTATACGCACACCAGGATTGCATTGAGTAGTTCGCCGAATACGTGATGCTCCTCGAATGGCAATTGGGATACCTCGCATATGGCACGCAGCAAACAAGTAGCGCCTTTCTTGTTGCTATCAAGATTTTCCAAAGATGTCTCTATGATGTCGTAGACCCAGCTGCGCGCTTCATCACGCAATGTTGTTTGCAAGTCCATTCGCCATTCGCGCGCCGTGCTTACAAAAGTCGAGGTATTCCAAAAACTCCACCAGTATATGGGGATTGGTGTTGGGGTATATATCCATTGCATGATATAGAACCACCAAAACGATTGCTCTTTGTCCGGTAACTTGGCAGGATGTGCAACGCCGAACACAAACTGCAATGCTCATTTACAATTGTTTGTTTTTATATTATGTAGTTATAAAAGTTCTATACCTTCGAGACCCCCGGACCATCGAAAATGGCCACACGTTTATTGCGTTTTAGCGTGGCCAGTTGGGTGGTGTTATGGTCTTGACTTCCCGAATGGAGTGTGGTGTTGGTGTAGGCCTCGACCACGGCTGCACCACACAGAAGAAGCATCAGTAGAGCAAGCGGTACTTGATGGTTCATGTTGCGCCTAACACGTTTGGATAACTAATGCCGCATCCATACTGTGGAAACATCATCCAATGAGGAATACAGGCACCTAAGAATGGGTTTACTTAACAAATTTGCAGCTACGGTCTTGAGGTGTTCAGTGAGATCGCAGAGTTCTTTCAACAAGTTTGTGACATTGAATGAAATTCATGTATTTGCTATTTCTTTATAAGGGTAAGTCAGAAGTTGATGCAATCATAGAACCCGTTTTCTGTGGAAATGTTGCGGGAGCTTCCATATATCAATTATATTCAAAATATTAAGCAAAGTATTTATATAATTAAAACACAAACATAGTTTTGCTTGTTATAAAATCACATTATCACTTTTGACCGAATTTTGCCACTAACGGTAGTATTATTGAATTACCCAAACGCATTAAATATTTTTATATACTGAGATCTTTGTGTATGGAAGTAGGTAATCGATATTCGTAGGGCATTAAATAAGCGACTTTTAGTTTCTTTTGTTTTCCGCTCCATATTTGTGGACAACCAGTTTCAAAGCAACAACCAATCGGCTGCGGCTTTCCACATTTAACGGTTCTGATTTCTGTACCCGTAGTGTCAACGCCCTACTCATTAACAGGTCTGACTTAAAATGAACTTAATCAACTATCAAAATAAACAAACAACTTCACGATTCCTGTGACGAACGTGCCGGTCAGTTTATGCTTCATAACAACATGGATCGAACAAGGCAACGCATTATCACCACTTACGCCATCATTATTGCTGTTCTCAGCTTACTCCATAAATCGCAGAATCGTCTTTTTGCTGTTTCCCGCCTCATCGACCTTACAAGCCACAGGAACGATATCGATATTTATCGAATTGATTGATAATCGCAAGCTTTTCGTCGATATGGGGTTTCAAATGAATTATGCATTGCCTTTTGATGTGGAATCATTCTACAACATGGCTATTTGGGAAGATGAATTTGCGCGTGGAAAGCGTGAGCTACACAACTCTACGCAAAAATACTTAATATCAAATGATCTGGAATCGGGTTACGGGAATGCTAGGCATCCGAATGACATGACCGCCGGTGAGCTGTATTTAGCTATGGAGAATCTGTTGGAAGCCAATGGCATTGATAAAACGTGTCTAATGCGCAGTGTTTGTGAGTTGGCCCACCATCCTATTAGTGAAGATCATGGCTATAGCTTCCATCTTCTTGCCAAACTACTGACGTTTATTCTGACGTAAGTTTGCGTGATTTTCAAGCTGCGAACCATTTATGTAATTAACACATGTGTTACAGGCCCTCGCAGCATGATGGTTTCGATGAAAATGAGAAAGAATGTCGGGATAGATATGAGCATGCGGAGCAAGTGGGCTTCCTATCTGGAAATTGTGAACAAATGTTTCCCTACTGTGAGGTGAACTTGTTGGAGTCCATAACAAAATTTATATGAAACTAGCAGGTCTTGCCCGTCTTTGCTGGGCTAAGTAAAATGTGCTTATAATTATAAGTTTATTTACTATATGATATTCTTCTTTCGACGCTCTTAAAAGTTTTTTAAAGAGTTCATTTTCCAAAAAGCAAATTTAGTACAATAAGTACTATATGTACTATGTTATACGTACATACATACATATGCACATATGTATCTTCGTTACGCACCGGGCGGACTGCCAGTCCTGACTTAACTGTGTGCTTCCTCAGCACGTTGTACGCACGGTCGAGTTATCCCCGAAAAGTCCAACGCGGGACATTTAATTTTGATTTATAAATCGGGACGTCCCGCCAAAATTGGAGCGTTCGGCAACGCTGATATGTACATACATTTAAATTTTTCATGCAGGCGTTATCCGCCTATATATGTACATACATGCATACATATATAAGTATGTATTAAAATTTTTAATTCAACACTAATTTGTGTCTTCAATTCCAAACATGATTGTTGTGAATGTAAAAGGTGTGTTTCTGCTTTTGTAAATCGCATGAATAAACTCACAAAATAGGTTTAACGATAAATGACTTTTAGATTTGTTCAGAGTATATTTGTAGCGTTGTTAGCTAACACTAAAACGGTAAGTCGCTGTAAATATGCGATCAGCTGAGATGCTAGAGATGGGCATGTGTCGGATGTTCTATGTGTTAGAGTATCAAAACTATCGATAGTTGAATCCGTCGATACAATCAATTCCATCGATGTTTGCATGCAATTAACAGAAAATTTAAATAATAACATCTTACAATTTATTGAGATCATTTGGAACAAATCATATACAAAGAAGAAGAATATGCGTAGGTCCGCTTTCATTTCTGCTTTACTATCGCTTAAGCAGTTGTTGCCTAGCGAAGGTAACTGTAAACTTTTGGCATTTTGCCTTTGAAATTAACAGGCGTAAATGATCAAAACGAAAGAAGAGAGAGCCAATGACTTACAGTTGTAGTTGTATTTTGTTTTAAAAATTTGATTTAAAACCATAGAACGTTATTTATTACAATCAAACAACAGTGCTCGATTGTCCAATGTATACATACATACGAATGTATCGATCGGAGAAAATTTATAACACTAACTTTTCATTTGAAAAGGTGAATAAATATTAAAACACCAATAATTCAAGTTCCACCACAAATTTCGAGAATCCGGGTATGCAGTTTTGTTTGTATTATTTTATAGATTATAAAAATCAAATCATCCCTTTGGAGCTTGAATTTTCCAAAATCCCTTCTTAGTGGGCACCTTCACTATGATAAGATGCTTGAGCCCAAATTTCAGCTTCATAGCTCTTGCCGTTTGGGCTGTTGACGCGGTTTCCTTTTGTGTCCCTTTTTTTTTACAGGAAAACTTCCATATTTCAGTCCCCAAAAAAAATTTCAAAAAACCAAGTATACAGTTTTTCTTGGAATTCTGAGATTTCTGAGAGTGTACAAACTAAGTTTGACGTTAATCAGATGATAATTGTAGATTTTTCATACAAACGTTGGAGCCTGTTTTACCGTTTGGGCTGTACGTTGATCACCAATCAGTCAGGACAAACTGTTTTATATATATAGAGATAAATGTTGATATACATAGGCGAGTTGTGTTTCTTTTTGGGCAGACATTTGTTGCCACTGCCCTCGACACTAGCACCTCTTCCTGGAGGGCGCCATATTGAACATTGTTATGTGCGGCGCGGCAGTATTGGGAAACCACAAATGTCGTCGGACAAAAGGAGTGGCAACTCGCGCGATTGGCAGCTGGAGCGGGCCGATAACAAGTACTCGTGCGTGAGGGGTGAGGACCAGTGCTACCAATTAGGAGGGTTGCAAAGTGGGTAAAATAGCAATTCCGGGGGGAATGGCAAGTCGTGGCCTTAGGGAAGAAGAAAAATCAATTGTGGACAGTGAGCGAGAGACACGTGCTATTGCGGGAAAAAACAAAAAAAGAGACAAAATAAGCGGAAGACAATATTCAAACACCGGAGTGACGACAGGAGGGTTGGGATATACACCAGCGAGGCTTCATAGGCAGAGGTAAGGGTCTAAAAAGGGGCCAGTGTGCCAGTGACTAATTTCTTACTATATGTAATAGGAGTAGCAGTAACTGCGGGCGTTCTGGGAAGTGCGCTGTGCGCGGGTCAGCACCGACCGGCAGTACTGGGTCTTAGGCCGGACCTCGGCCCTAGCGGAAGTCAGGCCAATTTCCATGCAACTGGAAGTCTGGGCTAAGTACCCTTCAACATTAAAATACTAAATATTCACACACATTCCGCTCAAACATAGAACCAAAATTTTATATACACCCTACATACATATACATAGCCATCTCACATACACCAGTGCAGCATATAACACAAAATTCAACTAAATACTCACACATATTCCGCTCAAACATAGAACACAAAATTTTATATACACCACACACTCCTTTATATACACTCCATACATGTTCACATACACCATATTCAAACACACACCGAATTTCCATAGCACTCAGACTCACATTCATCCCATAGCCACATAATATAAAATACAAAACAAAAACAACACCCAAACATTTAACCATATTGTAATACACACACGCCCATAGCCACATAATGTAAAATACAAAACAAAAAAACAACACACAAAACAATTAACAATTTTCTGTTAGACACATAGCCCAAACCATTCACAACATAATATAAAACATTAAACAGAAACACAACACCCAAACATTTAACCATATTGTAATACACACACGCCCATAGCCACATAATGTAAAATACAAAACAAAAAAACAACACACAAAACAATTAACAATTTTCTGTTAGACACATAGCCCAAACCATTCACAACATAATATAAAACATTAAACAGAAACACAACACCAAACAAGTAACCATATTGTAAACAAAAATTCAAATGTATACTTAAGAAAAAAGAACATAAAAAAAAAAAAAAAAAAGAAAAGTAAAAGAAAATGTATAAAAACTAATATAAGCAAAAGAGGTTGGAATGTGTATTGGAGCGGCGCAGTTTTTTTTTGTTTATCTCCTTGTCATTACATATCATTACACCCCTCATAACCACATACTCGAGTATAGGTAGGTTAGGAGGTTCGAAAATCGAATAAGATAAATAGGCACAAAGAGCCAACAAACTGCAGCGTCCCAAAACTCAATGGCCTAAATACCCGAATATATTTTTATTGTAATAAAATTTAAAATTTGAAAATGAATCTGGAGTAGAATCCATTTATGGGGTGAGATGGGGTGACTAAAGTCCCGGAGCAGAAGGAAAACCAAAGTGAGCATGTTGAAGGGAGCCGGCAACAAAATGCCAAAACCGGCTCAAGGTAGGGAGGGCCACGCGGCTACATGACACCAAAGTAGCCACAACTCCACCCAAATTCCACAGGCGTCCCTCAGCCGACAATATGAGTAGGTGTGTTTGATAAAAAAATATAAATTCATTGTTGGTCTGCCGCACCCCTGTCGCGGTCGAATCTGACCCTGAGCCGATGGCTAGCCGGCGTAACGACAGGGGAT